TGTTAAAGTTAAGGTTTTAATCATCAATGGAATTTGGTAACTTTCAAGCAACCTTTAAAATATTGTTGTAGCATAATTATGCTTTTATAGTATGTGTATATTCAATAAACTGCCATTATGTGTCATTAAATTGTAATTACTATCATGAAATTGTGCAGATGACATGCATACGATACCTTGTTGTCTGAATGGCTACCTGAGTTAAACAGTGCTTCAGTCAGTGTTTATGCTTAGTGTATCAGCTGTTTGATGCGATGTGTTGTAGCATTAATAGAATACTAAATTTGTGTTACTATTTTATTATTTTATATTAATTTCTGTGTTAATATGCCAAATATATTTATGAAAGAAAATGTGATATATTTGTGGCAGCCTGCTGGAGGTAGTAAGTGGTATACAGTAATTGTTAGTAAGTGTCCCACTTGTTTGCAGCTTGGTGGTAAAGGTTTGCATTCTATATCTGCCATATAAATTGACCTTTAGTTTTGGAAAGATTTTTAGGGTTGAAAACTTGACTTGTATGCGGCAATTTATGATCACCTATCGTCCAGTTCACACTCCTCTCTGACATCAGATAACAAACGATAACGAACGTCCTTTTAACAAGTTTCTTGACCATATGTTCCCAATTCAAAATGTGTGACTGTATAGGTAATAACTGTGTGAGATTACCCAACTTTATCTGTTAGAGGGAATTCTAATGCCTGCTAGGTGGTGTTGTCATAAATATAAAAGAAAAAAGCACAAACATTCTCTCTTTTTAGTCACAGGTGGCTGTCAATGTCAAAACTCAAATCCAAATGGAGAGAAGTATTTGAGGAAGATATGTTGTACCAGTTATTGAGATTTATAAGCTTAATACAGCTCAAGACTAAAGGAGAAAATGAAGATTGTTGCTTCAGTCTTCTATGAAAAAGGAAAGTATGTAAAATTCTCTTTTTCCCTGGGTTTGAAAAAACACAAAAGGGGAAAGTATTTTGGCTACAAGGAAGGCTTTATCATTTGCTTTTAATCCGATGTTTTCTCTGTGTTCAAACTTCCACATTCAACACTAATGGGACAAGTATTTAGGTCATGAGATTGGCTTTTTCATTCATTGTTATTCTGTGTTCAGACATTCACATCTAGCACCAATAGGACAAGTATTTCGGTTATGATAGTGGCTTTATCATCTGTTGGGATTTTGACTTTTCCTGGCCTTCAACACCAACATTATATTTATGTCTGGCTTGATGGAGGCTTTATCATTTGTTGTTATTTACAGCTGGTGACAGTAATAATAAATTAAAAAAAAAAATCCACTCCTCAAACTTTGGTCGCATATTCTTTTATGGTTTTAAGTCTCCCTATCACATGAAGTAATTTGAGAAAATGAGTGTGATGAGATCAAAGTTCATTTGTGGAAATGCAAGTTGTTCTGGCAAATGATAAACACCATTTCACATCAGTAGCTCTCAGGCTCACCTTATCTAAAACAGGCCTGAATGCTGCCAATCTAAAACATTAAGTTTTAAGTGTCTGAATTCTATCTAATGTCCGGCTACTCATTTCTGAGCACACCTGTCTACTCAGGCAGTTATCCAATCCGTTGCAGATGCATGCTCAAGTATATGTGTTTGTTCAGCACTCACAAAACCCATCTGTTCTCAAAAAGGTCCTCCAACCAGAGATTGACTGGGGCAGGAAATGGCTTGTAAATTTTAATGCCTCCAAAACTAAACTGTTCTCATTTAACCACCAGAGAAATGCCCATGTCCCCCATCAGTATGGTTGATGCTCATCTCCATGAAAGTGTCTCATTGCGCCTTCTTGGCCCAACGTTTTCAACTGATTTGAAGTGGAACAACTATATTGAATCAATAGCTGCATCTACTGCAAGGAAAGTTAGTTCACTGTATCGTGCCAGAAGGTATTTCTCGTCAGACTCAGTCTTACACATCTACCATTCATCCTTGCATTGAATACTACTGCCATATCTGGTCTGGTGACCCTGCCGTTCAACTTGAAGTTTTCGACAAGATCCAAAGAAGGATCTGCAATGTAATCAGCCTTGAATTGGCTTCTCAACTTCAGACTTTCTCAAAGACATGATGTGGTTACCCACTGTCTTTTCTACAAATATCTTCATGGCTTCTGCTCTGACAAGCTTTTTATCCCTAACTACATGAATTTAAGAGTGCTAAGAGATTGGCATCTAGATCTCACCCATTGATTTTTGAAATAGTTAAATGTAACTGCCACTTCTACTCCAAGTTTCTTTCCTTGTACATACCGATATTGAAACTTCATTCCTCTCACTTGCTTCCCTGATGATTAGAATCTTCAAAAATTTAAATGCAACATCAATTGCCATCTTTTGTTACTTTGATCCCTGTCCTTTTTTCCTTTCCTCAATCCCTTTTTCTCTCACTTTTACTTTCCATAAACCTCTGCATTCTCATGACACTCTTGTCTTGCTTGGGGTAAATAAATAAATAAAAAAAAAAATCTATGCTGAGTGGACCTTAGATTTTCTGGAAGAGAACATGTCATCTGGCATGATAAGCAGTTTGAAGAAGGCCAGTACGCTCAAATCCTCAGTCGTGATGACTTGTGACTTCATGCTAGCACGATCATTGACAGATCAATAGACTTTCAATAAACAAATCCTTCCTGGACATGCTCACATTTCTCGAGAACAAAACACTTTATGACACGCAAAAACACTTGCAATTGACATCGCAAAGGTCATCAGTATCAATGCAGTTGTATTGGTCAGAAATAAAATTAACTCAGTCATTGGCCATAATAATAGTGATTTCACTTTGATGCAATTTTTATGTTCAGATGCGAAGGAGTTTTAAACATATCTAACATTTTAACACTTATTAAAAAACAAAACAAAAAACTTTCAAAATTCTACTGACTTTATGGCCAGCTGTCTTAAAAAAAAAAAAATGCTTCCAATCAGTGACACTTATTGCTTTCAAAAATTAATAATGAATTTGATCTTGTAAAAGTAATTGAATATATCCAATAATATTAACTGTATGAATTGCTATCCATGAATTAATAAGATACAAGTGTTTCATAAGGCAAGATTTAATAATTCCCATTTCCTAGTCACCTAAGTATAGAGGATTTTAAATGGTCAACAAGTCAATTCAAAATATTGATCTCTTCTTCCTATGTACAAAGATAAATGCATCTGTTCAACATTTATGATGGTCAACAACATTCAATATTATATATCTCCACTAATTCGGTATACCTAAGGTTTAAAATGAATTTTCAGAAATGAAAAATCCTTAAATCTTTTGTTACCTTTAATTGAAAGCTAAAGAATTAAATTTACCATTTCCAGTAAGCAAAATAGTCTGTTGTGGATTTCAAACAGAAATTCTAGTGGTTGGAGTCGATTCATTTCTTTTTGGCTATAAAAAAATAACTGATTAGTGTCGTTTTAGCAATCTGTCATCACATGAATTTTTCTTTATTAAAAATTCTTACAAAAATAAAATATACTTTTCTGAAGCATTCTTTGAAGAATAATTAATTTAAAGTATAATTAATCTGATTTGAAAAAATATTTACTTTAAGTTGAAAATAACAGAAAAATGGACTTTTAAATCGAACAGTAGCAGTGATTAAGTGCTTGTCAAGGCTTGTAAATCTTGACAAGTGCCTCAGAAGCAGCTGTCAAGTGATTTACAGTGTTGACATGTTTTTTTTTTAGTGTCCTAAACTGTATCTGTGAAACACAATTTAAGAAAATGATGGGTGAACGCTTTTTTTAATATAATTTTTAAGTACTCAGTAATCTTGAAAAGGTTGGTTTTAAATTTAATATAGACATTGATCATATTTTCTGATAATGTTATGTGTGGTCACCCATACTTTCAAAATGGGAACGTTTATACACATAAAAATTTTTTTAAAAATCTTGGTGCATGATTTGTATTAAGCTTTTTAATTTTTGCATCACTGAATAACTTAACCTAATGAAGAGGCAGTTTTGAAGAATTTTTAAGAGTTTTGAAACTTTATAAATCATAATTTAAAAAGAAAAATGGAAACAGTTCTTGTAAAAATTCATTGAAATTTTTTTTCTTCTCCATACTATAATGTCCTTAATATATATTATTTATGAAAGCATTCAAAAGCTTATCTAATTAAATAATGTCATAGTTTTATTGCAGTTTTTATTTTATGATTTGGAGCACATTTTTGGATACTAAGTTTGGTAGGGGGGGGTTGAATAAAAAAATGTATGATTTATATTCTCCAAGGAGTCCTGCATTTAACTAATAAAACAAATTTAGGGGTTGGAATTTAATTTCTAGAAATTTCATGAAATTAAGTAGGAAGTAACAGATGTAAAAAAATTTTTTTTACCAAGACTTTCTAAAAATAATTTAAAAAATAAATCCATTCATTTGTGAATAAGTCCTGAAAATTTCATTAAAATCTGACATTTGATTTTTGTAAGAATTTTCAAGTGTTATTTTACTGGAAAAAAAAGTGCAAAAATTTCCATAACCAGCTGTTACATTGGCACACATTAGGTTTTTTGTTTTTTTTTTAAAACCAAAATTTTGAATGTGCTAGGAAGGAATAAAAATTTTTTTTTTTAAAATACTTTTGGTCTTTCTTTCAATAATAACAAACATTTTGATAAAAATTTATTAAGTTTGGGACCTTTTTTTTTTTCATCAGGGTATGCTCCTTTTTCAGCAAATTAGTGCATAATATATATATATATATATATATATATATATATATATATATATATATATATATATATATATATATATATAACAAAAACAATCAAGTTTTTATGGTCTCCAACACTGAGTTTGGGCATATATTTAGTAGCAACTCAAAATTTATCTATTTTGACTTTTGGAGGATGTGTCTGATTGATGTAGCAGCTACTAAAGTTTGTTGAAGTAAGAGGGTTCAGATCCTACAAGTTTGTTTTTATAGCAATGGAAAATAAATCAGGTTTCTAGTGTGGGAGATCATAAAAAACAAGGGAAAAGAAAGAAAGAAAGCTTGTATAGAATTTCAGCCTGTTTTATTATGACAATTTGGGTGGACATATCCATTGATTGTGATGTTGTGAGAAGGAGTGTTTGAAACACTGCGGCATACATACATACGTACATACATACATACATACAATGATCACACTGACAGGATCTGGTCTTCAGCTCCACACATCCTCCCTGATCAGAATGTAGATGTAGCGAGGAAAAGGGTAGGTTCTGAAGGAGGGACAGAGAACAAGCTAGCAAGAGACAGTTGTGTGAGCAGTGGCACCCTCTAAGCCAAACTGGACAGTAATTATGATAGCAGCTGGCTAGTTGTAGATGAATAAGCACACAGGCTGACCAACTGACCTTGCTGAGAGCATTCCCAATCAGGGAGGGGGGGGAAAAAAAAAGGAGGGAGGTTGAGTGGGTGGGGAAGTTAGGCGAGAGAACAGGCATCTATCTTCCCAGATTTGAAGTTTCAGCCTTTCTAGTTCATTATACAAGTCAGTTCAGCAACAACATGGCATGGAGAGAGAGAGAACTCTGAAAAGGCTTTAAGAAAGAGATGGAATTATGAAGGTGAAAGATGAAGGCAAATTTATAGAAATGGTGAAACTAGATTATGGGCAGGGATGGAGAGAGAGAGGAAAAAAATGGCAGTACAAAGAAAAGGAAGCAGCAGTTGAAAAATCAAATAATTTTTTTTTTAATCTCTGATGTTTTTTTTGTTTTTTTTTTTCAATAATAAATGCTTTCACTTGAGCCATGACCATTGTAACAAAACCGAAAGATAAAGCCAAACCAACAGAGAATTATCATATTGTCATTAGTAGCAAGAGCTATAAGAGCCTTGCTACCAACTTGTTTTCATTCATCCTGCTCATCAATGCACAAACACACATGCATAAAAGAGACATGTATGCTATAAGAATCTCTACTTATACAATGCAAATTATTGATATTTAATCTTTCAGGAGAAATTTTAATCAAGTTATTACAAAAAAAAATAAATAAAAAATAAAATAAATAAAAGGAAATCAATATCTCCAGTGTAAAAAAAAAAAAAAAAAAAAAAAAAAAAAGAAAAAAGAAAAAAAAAAAAAAGAAAAGAAAAGTTTTTTGCAATAATCAACCAAGTATCTTTAATAATAAAGTGAAAAGAAAATTGGACCCAGACTGGGGTCCTTTCTCATTAATTTCTTCCCCGCTCCTTAAACAGACATATTGGATTTAACATTAAATTGAAGAGTATTCACTATTGGTCAGAACTTTCAGTTTATATAAGAAAAGAATTGTTTTGTTTTTTTTCTTTTTTGTGCACTTATGAAAAAAAAAGAAAGAAAAAAAGGAGACCATTAAGATTCTCCAAATGGAGAATTCCTAAGGCAAATAGGTTTCACTTTCTATTAATTGCACTAGCAGGACAAAAATAATGAAATAAATGGCACCTGCAGTCTAAGATTCAAAAGTAAAGCTGGTTATCATCTTCAGAAATCTGTATCAAAGCATTGGGCATAGGCTTAAAGTTGTATAGTAGAGAATAGGGAAAGCATATTTTCCCCACAAATAAGAGTGAAGAAAATTCTGGACATCTAAATTAGGGCTCTTTAGCTTTTGAATAGCACCATCTCAAATAACAAACTGCAATATTGCCAAGAGTAACACAATGCTCAAAGTCTGTAAAGACTATAATAAAGGGATCATATTTCAGATTATTCCAATGGGAAAAAGAGAACTGACTCTGTAATTTTGAATATGCAGTCAATTGGTGAAACAATGGCAGAATACACGGGGGGAGTTTAAAAGTTCTTTGGCCCACAAATGCTGGCTAAAAATTAAATAGTAAAATGAATCTGCAAAACTTTATTTCAAATTTAAGAAAATTCCAAATGAAACACACTAACAATTATGACAGGCAGGCAAAAACGTGTGTGTATATATACATACACAGATGATGATATGAAATCTTTTCATTAACATCTAAGACCACTGAACAATGATTTACAAAGACAGTGTGTAAAAAGGAAAATGATGGTACAGTCAATCTATTTCAGAGATCTTTCTTTAGTCATTATCTAAATTGTAAAAGCAAATACACATATTGAATAGAAAGTTCAATTTCTTTGAAATGAGTATTGTCTGACCAACAGTTTTAAAAGGAGGAGAGAATGAAAGAATGATGATAGCAATAGCCACAGTAAAATTATTAGGGGAGTGGTTAAAAAGGAGTATTTTTAATGAATGTCTTAATTAGAATCAGATTTAATAAGGAAGGGGAGATAACTAATTGAACAGTAGATGAAATCAGAAACAAACTGATCAACCAAATTTTTTGTACAAATGAAAAACAAGATAAAAAAAAAAAAAATTAAAAATTAAAACTGAATGACAAAAACACAAAAGAAAATAAAATACATTAGAAATTTTGTTGTGGACAAGTTTATTGATAGATAGTAATATTAAAAATGTTTAAAATATAATTAAAAGGCCCAAACCATAACTGCATGTTTCTTCCCAGCAATGATGAAAAAAAAAAAAAAGATACTAAGAATATTGAATGAAAGTGACTGGGGAGGGCTTGCAGTCAATAACATTTTAAAAACTAGACTGATAGCAGATGTAAGGGGGGTAGTACCATTATGCACAGCTTGCTGCAGTACAAGACAGCAGGAAAATCAGCAGCAGCAGTTTTTTTAAATTTATTTTTTTTAATCTGGTATTTAAAGAAATTAAATAAAATGTTAAGATTCAATTCAGCTTCAATAAAGTGTTTCATTCTCATTTCTAATTAAAAGAGAAAATGTTTTCAATGATGATTTGATTCAGGAGAAAGTGGATGTTAGAATATTTATTTTACAATTCTTCAAAGACAGCAAATGTTGGAGAATGGGTGAAAATGGGAAGAGTTTGGGTTATTTGACAGCAGATGGAGCTGAAGTAAGAATTACAAAAATAAATAAAGATGAAAAAAAAAAAAAGATGAAAAAAAAAAAAATTTAGTAAATGGTCTTTGAGACTGCAAGAGCAGAAGCAACAACAGTCTTAGTGATTATGCCATCAAAGGAACAGGCAAAAAGCCAAAGAACAAACACCAGAGTTGTCACAAGCTGTCCAAACTAAAAAAAAAAAAAGGGGGGGGAGGGAAAAAAAAACGAAGTCCAGCCATAGAAGGAAGCAGCAGTTATGGTGATCGAGTTACTTTATTCCATTTTTTCCTTTCTTTCTCCAAATCATTTTTTATTTTAGTTCAGCAACAATCACAGATTGTGGAGACGAGAGCATTTAGTGATTTAATATCTTGATCTGCTTTTGAAGGTGAGTACAAGATTTAGAAATGAAGGGACAGTGTTGTCAAGGCAGCAGATGAATACCACAGAGAAGCAATGTCACTTGTCACAGGGTGGGGGAGTGTAATCTCCTTCAAAAGGCAAGGGCACTTGACTGACAGCTTGGTCAACATAAAAAAAAAAAAAAAAAAAAAAAAAACCCAAAAAACTAAGACACCTTGCAATTACTCACAGATCAAAGAGAACCTCATGGGTACAAAAGTGGAGGAGGAGGCAGAAATAAAAGAGATGCTTGTGATTGTCATAAAATGTCCATTACGATATTGAAGAAAATTGTGTACCTCTCATCTTTTAGTTGTAAGCTTAAGATAGACCAAAAATTCTTTTAGCTGAAAGTGGGTTCAGCAAAAAGAAAAGGGTTACAGGTGTTGGGAGTAAAGTTGTTGAGGGCAACTCAGTCATAATGTGGGAAGCGGTGGACAATTATTTTTTTTTTACAAATAAGACGCAAAAGTCCCTATTACAGCAGAAGGTATATGAAAAAGCATGTTGGGATGTAGTTTTAAGGGAACATTAGACACTATAAAATATAGTATTCAATATTACATGGTGTATAGTACATAGACTTATTTCTTTAATGTCCAACACTTCTTATTGATATGTTAAATAATACTGACAGTATATAATAAACTTTATGGTTAAGAACTGCCCCCCTTTAACCAAATAAAGTGTTCTGACCTAGCAAATAGAATGACAAAAGAAATGAGTATTCAGAGAAGAAGCAATAAGCAAATTTTTTATTATTTATTTTATAAACAAGTATTCATTTCTGACACTTATATATTTTACCTTGTTTCTTTTCAGTTCAATAAATATTCATATAAATTAATCACTCTTCCACTATATGAATTCTAAAGTGCCCGGATAACAGTAAAAATTCATGATTAAATTCTAAAATCAGTGATGGAAAGCTGAGCAAAGTTTAACATTCATAGACTATTACTGTATAATTGCTCAGTAATTTTAATTATTTTAAAAAGATATTTTTAGAATTTTAATAAGAACCCAAATATATGAAACTGGATCTTTATGCCTTTTCTTTTTTTTCTCTATAACTAGCATAAGCATTAAATGTTATGATTGTAATTAAACAGTAGTGTTTAATATTTTTTGCTGTCATTTCTTGAGAGGATAAAAAAAATACACATAACCTAAACTATTTTAGTGAATTTATATGAAAAGTGCAAATGAAAAAAATTTCCCCAAAAATGCAGTTATTAAAAATGTATAAGTTATGTGTTTATTAAAATTTTCTTCTCTTGTTCAAAGATTATATGGTAAGTATTGCATTGTAGTTGGTTCACATATTTTTATAAACTTGTAAATATAAAATCATTCTTGTAAATAAACAATCTAATAAAATAAAAAGTGTTTAATTCTTTTGTTGTTAATTCTCAAGAAAAAAAAAAAAAAGGAAAATGTTTCATGTTTGGGTTTTATTAAAATTCTAAAAAATGTCTTTTGGAAACAATCAAAATTGCCAAGTGAGTATTACAGCAATAGCTGTGTCAAGGAATGAAAAGGAGAAAAAAAAGACCCTCCTTTTGACACACTATTTTTTTGCGGGTATAAATTTTAAACTTTGCTGAAAGCTGATTGTCTGGGATTTCAAAAACACAATCTTAATTCAACAATTTATCAGCAAATCATATATCAAAGTTAATATTAAGAGACAATGAATATCTATAAGGGTCATTGGGATGTGGCTCAGCTGGTCTGACGTCAAGGTTTATATTTATTGGCCAACTTGAATATAAATAAAATACATAAAATATGTCAGGACTAAAATGAATAACAAATTACTACTGAGCATTTGAAAGTGTAAGGTGAGAAAAATGCTTATCAATATTGATAGAATTAGTTAACCTTATTTCAGAGTACACTTGTGTGCATGTTTTGTGAGCAGCAATCATTCAGAGAACTGTCACAATTTAGCATTTCTAATCATTCTTTTAAGAATTCAGTCCTATTCTGTTGAAAATTTTTTCATACCTTTGTGCACTTTTTAAAAGGTTACAAATAAATACATTATATATGCCTCTTGGAATTTATGTTAATTTCAAAGCAGACTTAGACAATTTTAAAATTGAACATTCAAAATCTGTTTCA